CATCATAGACATGGGTATGTAAGTAAGTATACACGTGACGTACACATATATAATGAATAAATAAAAATAAATAACCCTGGACAACTAACAGAGCGCCATGTAGTCCCACAGTAAGCAGGCCTTGTGTTATGGGTACTAGACAACTGATGTAAATACTTAGATACTTTTTTGTAATCACATATGTATTTACAAAAAAGTAGTATTATATATATAATATACATAGGAAACACCCATACTGCTACAATGGATCATTTGTATTAACAAATGTTTGCACCGTGCGAGGAATCGACCCCGCGACTATCGGAAATAAACTAGTGTGTTAAACCGCTAAACCATCGAGTCCGCCAAAGAAGGTATATTATAACAATAGAGCTATTTTATAATAGCGACATTTTTGCACTATTAATTAATAATATGGAAGCAAACCTGATAATCATTTGAACATCTTACTTTTCAACCACTATAACTTTTGCTATGAGCAGGAGATAATATAAAATACATTTATATTTAACTTTCATATTTAAAAGTTTGTAGATATATTTGTTGTTCAATCGCGCTTAAACGGTTTAAGAAATTTGAATAAGATGCAGACAGATTACATATATCCTAAATGCATGACAATAAAAAATACATAACGTACCGTGGTAGATAGATATAGATAAGTAGCGATCAATTTAATAACGTAATAATTAATTATACATTTTTATTGTGTAAGACTAACAATAATCCTATCCTTTTTATCCTTAGGATGTGCTAAGAGGGGAATAACAGAAAAAAGGAAGAAGTTAAAAAATATGTTATTTAATCATTATTGACGTAATAGGCAATTGGCGATTATTAGCATGGCGTTACTATGCTGTCAAACCACGCGCTGACAGTTTATGAACTTTTTGTTATAGACAATATTACCATAGGTTACTGACGTTAATAGAATGTGAATGAATTACATTTACAAGTGGGTTAAATCCAATATGTACTGTATGATTTAATTAGGATAGGAAATGCACTACGTATTAAACTATGACCGGATTTATCCATTTACAATTTTTTATGATTTATTGACATACCATTTGGTATAAATATAAGGATATTTATCCTAATATTATAATTGTGAAAGCAGGGATGTTTGTTAGGCTTTTACGCAAAAATTACTATACCTACCCATCATCATGGAATTTTTTCGTAGGATATTTTTATATTAAAAAATATATATTTTTGATTCAGTGCGAGCGAAGCCGCGGGTAATAGCTGGTATAACATAATTTAAATAATGCTATAATAATTGCTACACCATTACTTAGAATAACCTTGACAGATATAGGTATAGGTATGTGACAATCTATAACATTTACAAAAAATCATTGCCAATGAACTCCGTTTATTTATTTTACTTATAAGTAGATATATCACTATAATTAAATGCCGACATAATCAAGATTAATTGTAGAATAAAATGCACTGGGATGTGTTACTCTATAACCAAAGGATTTACGAATAGTGACTACATAAGTAAAGTACAATATTATTTTGTAAGTAGAAATCGCATTAATATGTACATATCAGTCTCATTGGCGGCAAGTATTTCATTTAAAAGTCCCTGGACAATAAAAAAAAGAACAACAAATTATTTGCTATTGCAGCGTGTAAAAACGCACTGCAAACATTGACAACTATTAAGAGGTCAATAATAATTGAATGTCCTACCTATCCAGTACAATTATTTTTATCAATGAACTTGACACGCACCAGTTGGCGTTGCGATACGCTTTAAATGCATCAATACTTTTGCCATAGACAACAAATTCTTGAAACTTTACGGCACCTACTTAAATAGCCATGAACGTTCTATTTTCGAATAAAGCAATAAGTTATTTGTGCAATCAATCAATTTAATATTTTTTATATATTAAATACAGGTATGGATAGTTAATAGTTTAATATATTCATGAAACTGCCTTTACTGGTTGTAAAACAATGTTACTAAGATTCGTAACTTTTAAAATATTCTCCCCTTGCTTGCCCATGCCGATCTGCAAATCCCTAAATCGTTTCCATAGCCAAATAGTCATTTGGTTAAGGAGGATATCGCAATAGTTACTGAAGTTTTTAACTGTACTTAATCCTAATGTTAAAGATGAAGAGTAAAATATATGTCTATATTTAATAACAGTACTATATAGGCTAAATTAACCAAATTAAGGAATAATAAAAATTACGAATTTTAATATTATGGTGGAAATAAAGTTTACCTATACTAGAGCTTTGGTGTCTAATATGCCATCGATCGTTATTACGGATCGATATATGCACTAATTACGCATATCTATCTGAAATGATATTTGTGGCGATACGCAGGTAGATGTAGAATTTTTCAGTTCTGATTCTTCAGTGCACCTTGTAAATAAGTCAGCTAGCGCCCCATATTTAGTGTATGTCATTACATCGCTCGTCTTCCGCGGCCGTATGCCAAAACATTTTAATGCATATATTTCACAGTCATCCATCATTAAAATGAACTATGGATTTATCATTCTATGCACTATTTCCGTCATTCCGTCGACGCTACGATGGATGAACTCGATCACGTCCATTAAAGCTGTAGTAAGCTTTATACTACTACAGTTTCAGAGTGAACAGCCGTATTGGTACCTATAGGGTTTATATATATCTTTTATAAATAATTATTTTTCTTAAAGAAATAAAGAAAATGTTATTTTGTCGTTGTCGTTAACATTGGATTTGTCCCTATAAATTATTTTGTTCTTTGCATCTCCAATTATAATAAAATGAACGACAGCCGGTAATATATACAATTGATAGATTCGTATTAGGAATTTCATACGGATAATTATTATGAGAAATTCAATTCAATTACTGGTATTTCATTGAATGCTATTACTACAGTGCTACTAATTCGATGCTGGTGACAACGGTTCTGCTGTAATAAGCGTAGTACCATCTCCGGCCGCGGATAAACCGACAAAATAAAAAAATGATTAATGAAAGCCTTGAGCCGCAAGAAGTTAAATGACATCGCACTCAAGGTGAAATAATTTGCAGATCCGATTGTTCATACAAATCTTTGTGTATTTTGCTCATTAGGTACAATTTAAATATAAAAGGCGACGACTGAACTTAACAAGCATATAGCATTAGAAGACCTTGATGGTGTAGCGGATGTGATGATATGGTTATGTAGTTGGGTAGCGCGGGTTTGGTCCTCGCAGAATATTTCCAACCATTTGTATTAATAAGTAGATATGACTATTGGTCCTTTTTATTTATATTGTGTACGTGTAAAAAATAATAAAGTATGTACTTAGTATTTTTAAACATATCTCATTCACATGTTCAGAGTTCCACCGATTTGTGACTCTTAAATTATGAATTTTAAGAGTCACACTAATCGGTGGAACTCTTGCTACACCACTCCTTCCTATTTGCCTCCTGTTTGTCTCTTTCCTTTTGAGTTAAAGTTCATTACGTACTCATTGTACAAGCTCTACTTTGGACTAGATGGTGTTGTCTATGTGGTCATAGTAACATAATTAAAATGTAGTAGGATGTGTGATTCCTTACATTTTAATTGGGTTCCAAATAATTTCGTTACTTCAATGTAGGTACATACATACTCATAGTTTTTGAAATAACTCATTCCATCTGTTGACCTCATAGTAATCGTTATTAGTTACCAGTAGTATTTTATATTAATAATGTGTACTAAAGTTAAGATTTAGATAACTGATAGTTACTAAAAAAACTAATCTATATTTTTTTCTCTATTATATAACTTACCTGTATTTAGTATGTAGGTAAGTAGATATATATGTATTAATGTAAATGTAGATACGCTTTTTGTCAAACATCAATCAACAGCATTTTAGTTATTCATTGTGTGATGATGAACATTTCAATGATTTACTTAAATTCTGATGGACACGTAAAGGTCGTTACAACGACGTAAACTCATTTAAGAAAGAAAGCATTTTAGCATTCATAACTACGTAAAACCTCCATTAAACCTATTTTAAGTAGGTATTATGTAGTGTATTTTCTCATAAAGATGAAACGACACAAAAGAATATCTTTATTACGTATATTTGCAGTTGTTTTTTTTTTTATTTATTTATTTACGATGATGTCTGTATATCTGTTTGTTGTTAACTTTTGACGACTAACCAGCTCAACGAATGGAAATGAAATTTTATGTGTGTAATGAGAACGGATATAGACAATATTTTGTCTCAAAAATAATATGGCAGGAGATAAGACCCTATGGGTCTGAAAGATTATCTAGACGAAGTAGAGGGTGACAGCTGGTATCACATAAGCGAGAGTGTGTTTGTTTGTCTATTTTTTATTATTTCACATATAAAGAGGTGTACGGATATTAAAAATATATGCTGTGAATATTGACCATATTACAACTAATATAGACTATCATTTATCTAAAAAAAGATGAGACCAAGTCGCAGGTAACAGCTAGTTGTTATCGCACTACTAATTCTAGTATAAAGTATACCTCATACAGATAAAATATCCACCAGATATAATAATAATAATAATAAACTTTATTCATAAATACACGGTACAATATAGGTACATATTCCCAGTATTTTTAATTGGTATTTACAAATACACTTAAGTTATAATTATAATAGCAGCAAATATCTACTCAAGTTCAGTTCTAAGTAGACGGTAGAGCATATTCTAGGTACTAAGAAATTCAATGACATATTGATAGATAAGGTAAGATAATAAATAGTAAAATCATTGCGGATATAACACGGAATTGAAATATGGTTCGAATAGGCAGATACAACCAGTTATTCTGTGTTTATTACCATGTGGATCATTTGATAATATAATGACTGGGTTCCGGTGTTAAGCCTGAATACAAAGGCACATTCCATTCACATGTAGATTGTGCACGGATCACGAGTCCGTATATATCTTTGAATTACTATTTCCATAAGAGGCATAATCATTTAAATTGAAAAATGTTGTGCTCCGGTTTGAAGAGAGATATTGGATTAACAGTAAGTACAGGTTCTGGAGACATGAGATATTCTACAGGAATGGGTACATACCTATCACGGACAACACGTATATTTACGTGATGTTCGCGGTGCTATTCACATGTGTAGGTACATAGAAAGATAAAAAGAAAAAAACAAATATTTATAAATATAATACACATAGAATATTAAAGTCTTTTGTCAGTTTAATTTTATAATGAATATCACACACTGCGACCAAAACGTTTTCCAGTAAGCTTTATATCTGGGCTGTACCTAATGCTCACAAGTTCATTTTCAGTGGAACAAATAGGAGTAGTGGAGGCTCTATTAAATAAATTAAGACGTGTATGTATTTAATGTAAATATGCTCTGCTTATGGAGTTATGACTGACATCACCATATTAATGCAATCTGTCACCTTGGTTGTCGTTTCAGTTCCATAAAACCCTGGCCAAACATTACCACTAATTTTAAAAAAATGCAGAATATCTGGGTACTTTTGTTTATCTGTACCTAGTTATCATAAACGAGTACCTACCTACAATTTTACTAAGTCCTAACAGACTGTAATGGAACCTTGTAGTCAAAACATTTTATACGACATTTTAATTGGAAGTCTTTGGGATCAGCTACTAATCTAATATATAAAATTCTCGTGTCATAGGTTTCGTTACGTTAACGGTTTGACAAATTTTGAAGAAATTTTATCTAGACACGCGGCAGCGTGTCAAGCCGAGTTTCAAGTAAACTGGCTTGCAGCACCGTGTGTATATTTACACGAACCATTTGGAGCCACTTTTGACCCCCTCATAACTCAAAAACTCTATCACACAAACCTGTCAAATTTGGTTCATATATTGAGACTTGCGAGATAAATATGTGATCCAAATTTCATAACCATATCTCAAACGGTTATTTAGATATTAATGTCCAAAAATCGTCATTTTTATCACTGATCAACTATAGATCAAAATTATAACCCACTTCCAGATGACCTAGGAAGTTCAAATTTGGCATGCAGATAGGTAATTAGGTGAATATAAAGGAAAAAATCTGAAACTGATAAATTGTTATCATTTTACTACAATTTTTCACTTTAATTGATTATATTTCAACTTATACTGGACGAATACTAAAATTCTATGAAAACGTCGATAGCCACCAATTGACATTGATCCCTGGCGAAAAATTTCATCTTGTACTGGACGGAAAGTAATATTGTATGAAAACGTCGATCATTACCAATTTACGTTGACCCCTTCACATCAGTGTCGATAACTAGCAAACTTCAAATATTGCATTGAGCGGTAAACACTAGTTGCTATAATTTAGATTCTGTCTAAAATATACTCGTACTTATAACTAGGAGTATAGTCGAATTTCGTATTTATTATGTTATTAACTGAGATTTGGTATTAATTATTATTTCAATATTTAGCGCACATCGATAGTGTAAAATCATTATTTTTATAAATAATTATTAAATAATAGACATTTCGGTATAGGGCGCCGCGGCGGCGCCGTGTGGGAGCGGTGCGATAAAACGTTGACGCGAACCTGTCCGAGCGAATGGCAGCCGCCCTCATATGTCTCAATGTTTTGTTTCTCGATATCTAACCTATAAGGTTGCGATTTATGCTACGAAATTTATAGCTTTCTTAAATTATACTTATATATTTGTGGTTATATTATTATTACATTATTTTAGTAAATACGTATGGTATAGACAATAGTTTAAACCAAAAATTAATAACAATTTTAGTATAGTTATAAGTAGGAATGTATAGTTAACTCGAGAATGAGAACTCATTGGTAACAAATTGTTTTCTTGAGAATTCAATAGATAACAGTCAATTTGTTACATAATCGTCTTTACGAACTATAACGTGTCAATACGAAGTTTCAGATATTAAATAATGTATATGTTGAAAGAGAACAATTCCGTATTTGCTTAACATATGCTATTACTATCCACAAATCACAAGGCCTTAGTTTTGGCAGTCCTCTTCTCAACATAGGCTCCTCCATATTTAATAAAGGGCAGGTTTACGTTGGACTCTCCAGAGTTAAAACCTTAGATGGGGTACGTCTTAACAATTTAGATCCAAGTCACGAGAGCTCTATTGTAGAGTACAACCATCTGTGGACGTTATACCGCCCCGATTTGCCCAAAAATTCCTGATACTGAATTGGCTTTGGACTTCAACATTTAAAAGTTACAAGAAAATATAGAAAATAACACAAAAAAAAGACAATTATACCCCGTAAATATACGAAAATACAGTAATTTATCAAAAATAATTTGGTATTAATTTAGTTATAAATATGTACCTAGTATAATTTATGTACAAAAAGTAATGATATCCCATCAAAAACATAAATGTGAAATGATAGCCGAGTTTAATATTATGATATATGCCTTGATTGTTGACTTCTACGACAAAAGAGATGAGATCTAAATGGATGCCAAGTTCAATGGTCTGTCCTGAAATGTATTTATAACAATATAAAATATCATTTCTTCTTATAACTTAGGATAATATACTGTAGCCTAAGGTCTAACTTGGCTAGTTTTCATATACGAAATATACTGTAGCCTTCGCAAGTTCTAAACATGTTACTTGTCGGTTCCTATTTTAATATTAATAGTAACTAGCAATCGAAAGTAATAATTGGTATATGAGAACTGGCCAAGTTAGACCTTAGGCTACAGTATATTATCCTAAGTTATAAGAAGAAATGATATTTTATATTGTTATAAATACATTTCAGGACAGACCATTGAACTTGGCATCCATTTAGATCTCATCTCTTTTGTCGTAGAAGTCAACAATCAAGGCATATATCATAATATTAAACTCGGCTATCATTTCACATTTATGTTTTTGATGGGATATGTATATTCAGTAGGTCTGAGAATAGGGTTGTAACTAATTTTTGTAACCCTAAGTGTTAAGGGTAGCTCAACCCAAATTTTTTTTACTTTTATCTACAATTATATATTTTTTTTAAATACATACAACCGTAAATTTTCAACCTTCAAACCATTAACCCCTAATTTTTAATAGCGATTTTAATTTATATTGCAAAACAACGTTTGCCGGGACAGCTAATCAATAAATATTTACTTACGTCACATTTTGTTACAGTACCTGAATCCATTCGGGGTGAAGATTTTGGGTACGATGGTGCTATGGGTAAGTAAGGTAATATTATTAATTAAATACAATTTCAAGCAAAACAGTGTCAATCTTGATGAATGTATGACGAAAACTAAATAACTTCAAAGTTCAAAGACGTGCCGTGGTGACCATCTTATTTTTCTTATCAAAACACTTCAAAAGTTAATAGGTCTACTTAAGTTTTTTTTAAATATAATATTACCATAATTTAAAATTCAATGTCACTAACACAATTAAATGAGTGTCAAATATGCAACATCACTTTGTTTCTGTAACTTAGATATTGCGCTATGTTTTATGTTTACTCCAGTAATGAGACTTTCGCTAACGTACTTTCTGAGCCGCATAAAATTTTATATTTATACACAAACATTATTGTCTAGATTTACGCTTTGTGAGAAAGTAACACACCTAATTTGCAGCCACTTTCCACCAAGAACATGTTTAATCTCAAACTATATAATAATAATAGCTGTTTGTCAGTAACAAAACCTATACAAAGTTAGTTTTAGTGCATAGGAATCTCTTTAATCTGTTATAAACTACAACGACGGCTCAGTAGAGAATATTTGTTGTGTTTTTATACTTAATTTTTATATCGATCAATTAAGTCCCATGTAATAGACTGTAGAAAAGTTATTAGTTAATTTGCAATGCATTACCTATTAACATTTACCTAAATGACATCTGTTCTAGTGTTAATTATTCATATAAGACACATAATTTTCATGACTGGGTCTTCCGGAATACGAGAAATAGCGGTCCTATGGGTGAAGTCATGGTGATAATATATCCACATTAAAAAAAAGAGCTCTATTTTTGCACTGCATACATCTTACCTTATTGAATAGATATATTATATTTAAAGTACAATACCGTTAATACTCCAACTGCTATGTCATAATGAATTAAGATAATACTTTTGCATCCTAAATACAATGAATATATACTAACTTTCGTAGTACCCATTACGCAATTTTAATGGTATGCCGAGCATAGGTATAAAGTTATATGTTGTTGTAGGACCTCAATATTGGGGCGAGCGTTACCGAGAATGTACTGGCAAACATCAGAGTCCCATTAACATCAACGTCCTCCGGGTGAAGCAGGTCACTTTGCCAGAAATTGTCTTCATTGGCTTCGACGACTCTATAGACGGGGTACACGTCACTAACAATGGACATACAGGTCTGTATTCTAACGCCATTTGTAGTCCTTGACCTCAACTATGTAGGTTTATACTTATATTTTTTAATACTATCAAAACCGGACTGTCTGTATAAGTTGCCTGTACGAGTACTAACATGTAAAAACTAAAGTACTTTGTTGTAAAAAATCTTTTAAATATTTATAATTATCATGACGACTGCTTTTAATTTGACTATATCTGTTATACACTCTACCCAATATAGTTATGTACTTTAATATTTGTAAACCTAACAGCAATCAGGTGAACTGTCAATCCGTCATCAGATACCTTCCTTATATATGTATATTATGAGAAAGATATATATATATATATATATATATATATATATATATATATATATATATATATACGCTCTTTCTCACTGTACATTACAGATATACATATATGTAAGGGATATTTTAAGTACCAAAATAAAAAAACAATACCTTCATCAATTTAATAAAAACTTATAATAAATTGAAACGGAATATGCCTCAGTCATTGTAATAATGTATGTTAAGTAACTTTTTTTAATTGGTCGTTGTATGTTGCTGGTGAAGTACTGATCGAGGTACAGAACGAACCTCACCCGAGAGTGCGCGGAGGACCTCTCGACGGTGACTACGTGTTCAGCCAGATGCACTTCCATTGGGGAGATAACGACACCTTCGGATCTGAGGACAAAATCAACCATAGAAGGTATCTACAGTATCTATATACACGCACAGCATATTTATATATTTTTTTACCGGTATCGGTAAACAATTCATATAGTAGCGTTTTTATTTTACCTTTTATATTTTTTTATAAAAAGCTACTATTACTATACTGTTATATATAGGTACATATATCTCTTTTATAATTCTGATTAATATTGATTAAATTATTTTTTTATAGTACTTTACAGTAATATTTTTTTGTATGGATGTTGATGGAATACGCTGGCGGGCCATTAGAGAAGGATGATGAGCTTGATGTAAGGTCAGTTACCCCATTGTGAGGAAGTCGACAGAAATTAAGCACGACAGTTTCCTGCGGGACTACATGGATGTCTGATATACAATACATTGCTAGCAATGAGGGTCACTAATCCCCATTACTAACAATCTAAGTACTTGTCGTAATATTTGACAACATTTATTTCCAGCTAGTTTGTATTTAATTTTCGATGTGTACTTTGACAGATAGAATAGATAATAATTAAAGCCTGGTACGTGTTGATGCGGCTCGAATGCTCAGATGGTAGGTGAGGTTGTCTTCAGCAGATTACAGGGTTGTAGAAATGATAGATTTGCTTATAGTCTTCAATTTAATGGGTAAATACTGTGATAAATTACAATTTTGGTGGAGTGAACAAAAGTACGTTAGATCGATCGGTTGATTTTATAAGTCTGTACGTTATGTTGCGTATTTAAATTGGATAGGTGCGCGGTCCAATCGGAACGCTCTCTTTGTATTGCGTTTTGTTACTGCTTGGTACGCGACAAAGCCTAAGTACAATATAACATTTGCTATAATTCTACATAACTACTTTCTATTTCCGTTATGATTCCGTTTATGGTGGCTACAAGAATAGCTTCTAAATGTATTATAGGACATACTGTGTAAATTTATATAGAAGTTAATGGTGTGGTGTACCCATGAACCGAATCCAAATTAATGGCTCCGTGAACTCGGCATCATAATTCGTCCTCAATTAAGTATGACACGCATGCACAGTTTGACGGTAAAATACTTTCATGTTGTTACAGTTTTCCTATGGAGTTGCATATGGTGTTTTACAAAGAAGAATACAAAAGTACAAATGAGGCTGTGAAGCATCCTGATGGTTTGACGGTTCTCGCTTTTTTTTATGAGGTAGTAATTGTTAATAGTTATTTGTGTTATTATGCATAATGCATTTTCTACGCATTGTAAATGTATAATTGCAAATATCATTATTATTACAATTTAATTCTTATGTTGGAATATAAAAATGTAATAAAATAAATTTACTCATGCTTGCTTGTATTTAGTTTTTACATTGCAATTGTCAATTATAAATATAAAATGTACATATTTTTTCCGTATATAGAAAACTAAGTAGATACTGATTAATATGGTCATTATTTCTTTGGTACATATGGAAATAACGTGAGTAATATAAAATTACTTATGTTCTTTTAGATATCTACAGTCGAATAGCAATTAGGTAAGGGATAATTTTGAAATCCGTATCTTTGTCGTATCGTAACATTTGCATAGCCTTCATAAAAAATTACAAAACCTTGTATTATTTATTATGATTTCTCTTAAATAAACAATAATGTATGCAAGTTAAATTTGCTAATACTCTATAGTACAGAATTTTTTGTCTTTTTTATTATTCAGGGATAGGAACATAGTTAAACATAAAAAGCAATACAATTTGCATTCAAAGAAATATATAGATATGGTTCGTATATCAATGCGTAAATAACTACATACGATATATTATATTAATGCTCTTTAGCTAGTTATTTTTAAATTATATGCATTACTCGATGTCTATAAATTACTGTCATTGTTATCATACAATTTATTTAATTTGCTAACTTGTGAATAGTTGTTACAATGACTGGTACCTACATACTTTGATCGTACAAAATCAAATTAATTTTTATTGTATTAATGGCGTTGGGATTGTCGTACCCATACAAGAAGCAAATAATCTATTGTTATAAAATAAATATATATATATAATTAGTGGTACTCGTCTATAATTATCTATTTATTAATTTCGTTACATTGGGTTATCATGGATTTATTTTTCACTAGCTAGTACCTATTAGTATTTTGAATAGTCTATTTTTGGATTACGATACATTTATTATTAACTTGATATATAATTAATTCTCCATACAAACTATCCTACATTTCAACCCCTTCAAATTTTTTTCCGGATATAACAAATTAATTACTACTGTCTCCAGGATTCTATCTATCTCGGCATCAGCTGCGGTTTGGTTGAAAGCATAATAAACAAACTCTCTTTAACATTTATAATATTAGTTAAGATTTATATGATATAGATTTATAATTTTTTATTTCAGTTGGACCGACACGAACATCCGGCATATGATGACATAACGTTAGCATTGTCAAACGTGACCGAGCCCTACTCGTCTGTCATTATGACTCACCCATTCTCTTTCCTCAATATCTTGCCATACGATTTAAGAAGATACTTCACGTACCGTGGGTCGTTGACGACACCACCGTGTTCTGAAGTTGTTATTTGGCTGGATTTCGAACAACCAGTGAGGTTGACTCATGATCAGGTAGATATATATCTATTAGTTTATACTATCTTACGGTTACATATACTTAATATTAAAATCATAATACAAAAAATTAGACGTTCATAAGCGGCTAATCAGAATCAGAAATATTTTTTCATATGTCCTATAGGAAAAATGATATCTGATTTTATTTGAAAAATTCATGTAAAAAAAAGTTAATGTAGTTCTGTAATTCTTGTCTTCAATGTTGGTACTGTATGTTTGTTATTATAAAATTATATATAGTTGTATTTATAAAACTACTCACTTTTAGAGGCTCTAGCGGGTTAAGCATGTGAAAACTGCACCCGCGTCTAAAGAAGGGTTCATACCTTGTTATTATTATTTTTCATCTAAAATAGCCACACACTCATTAATTCATTAGTAAGTTGTTTGGTGTCTGATATATGTAGGTGATAGAACCATGAGGTAACCATGTACACGACTTTGTATAGAATGTACCTGGGTAAAAATTGAAGTGTGTTAATGATACTGTAGACATTGTTATTTTGGTACGGATTGACAGTCTACACATCAAAAAGATAAAATAAATTAGCTTAAACCTACTACTACTTTTCAAATTCAAAATATCTTTATTCATGTAGGTCTTTTACAGACTCTTATGATATGTCAAATCTACCGTCAGTTCGGAATGATTTCGAGATGAGAAGAACTGACAAGAAACAGCTCATATTTTTTTTTATATTGTACATATTTACAATAATACAGGTTGATTTAAATTAAATTTGTAGAATAGAGTGACCACCAGCATATGCTATTGATAGAAAAAAAACAAATCTAATCTAATCAGTGTTCGCAACCTGAACAGACCAGTCCCCACAAGCAGCACCCGTTCACGAGTATGACGGATGAGTCAGCCATCATTGCACTCAACCATATTAGAGGGAGCACATCGACCCGACCCACCACGCCGCCGCTACAAGTTTGAACTTTATAGCGAGCATGACTGTTTCAAGTTACTCCACTACGTCATTTATACTATTTACAGCATAAACTGTACCAATCACAGTTTTCACCCATTACAATATTTATATTTAAACTTCTCATACAACTTAGTAAATTTCATATTTTTATAACGCTATAATATTTGTATTATAGCTTCTTACCATATTGCGTAAAATCGCATGATATAAATATTTGGTGTTATTTCGGATTACTGTTTTAACTGTCTGTTCGTGTTACGAACACTGATTAGAGTATTATTGCAATAGCATTTGCTGGTAGTCACTCTATTCTTCCAAATTTGAATTTAAAAACGAATCTGTATTATTGTAAACATGTACAACATTTATTTGAAAAGAATACGAGTTAAGTTTCTTGTCAGTTCTTTTCATTCCGAACTGACGGTAGATTTCACACATCATACGAGTCTGTAATAGACCTAGATGAATAAAGATATTTAGAATGTAGATTTTTTTATTTTGAATTGTATTGTAAATTTTCAATGTTTAAAAAAAATGTTCTAATAATTGTTACAGATAGAAGCGTTTAGGGAACTAAAGTCTGCCCACGGGAAGATCACACATAACTTTAGGCCCATACAGCCAATCGGTGATCGCGTTGTATTTTATAACATAGATAGCACATACTTCAGTTACAACGAGATAGATGAGCCTGACGATAAGACTACAACCAGCAAGCCATACAAGAGGCGGAAGGGACATAACAGTGGTAGCAATCATAAATTAAACATAATCTGTAGCCTAAATGTTTTGTTAGCAATGACTTACTATTTATAATTGTAGTTAATAGCACGATTTAAATTTATATTATAATAATAATTATGTTAGTTAGATTGTGTTATGAGAGAAACTTAACCTTGAATTGCCATAGATTTATAAGAACTTGTACTAATATTTAGATTCATATTTAACTATATTGTCTTTTAATCAAAATACATACTGCAAAATAAGAATATTACAAGGCAGTATATATTTGTGACATTTTTAATTTGAAATCGTGAATTATACAATATCTATTGTGAAATATATGCACCTACATAGACAGAATTTGATATGAACCGTGTAAATGTTGTTACAAAAGGCTTTCTAATATACACTTTCTAAATTAAAATTCAAAATATCTTTATTCGAGTAGGGTAGGTCTATTACAGACTCTTATATGTCAAATCTACTATCACTATGTAATACTTCAAATTTTTAAGATACAAATTTCTAGTTTATTAATAATATTCTAGTTGCCTGTTTCAATTGGCGCATTTCCTTGACGCCAAATGAGTAAGTCGAAATAGCAGTCTTCTTAGGACAAAGCGCGTGCGGATGCTTTGAACTGAACCGAAAACAATAATGTGTGAATTACTCTTTCGCTTTTGTAATAACATAACGTTCCATTGGTGAAAGAAATTTAAAAATAGGTCAAGTATTATTTGATTTTGTCAAAACACAAATGACTGTATAATATTATTAGAAATATTCCAATTAAAGTATATTTAAGACTATATAGACAGGATAATGTATATTTCTAAGTGAAAAAAAATTGCCGTTATAAGAATGGTCTATGGAAATTAACCCTCCAAAATTTCGAGTTTCATAAAAAGTTTAACATTTGAATCAATATTCATTCCATATATTAAAGTCATACAATTAGAAATGTAATATAGATTTCAATAAGAATACATATTGCTTATAATGTACTATGCGTAAAATTAACAATGACTCTTTATTTAAAATCTTAGTATAATCTCACAACTTTTATGATTATTGTCTAAGTAGGATATTTATCCAAAACATAACTTAATAAAATGAATGTATTATTTAAATAATGACAAGTATTATATAAAGTGTTAATATTTTGAAATTGGAATTGTATATCTTTTATACCGACTGAAAATAAAGTACCTAATGAGTAATGGTGACGTCCTGTGATATAAATAATTATTACGAATTTATTAATAAAATTTTTGCATATCTGCTTTTATTTATTATACAAGATTCGCTTTTACATCTATTAGCTTTTTTATTTATCTATCACAATTATTATTAGGATGCCTGCACAGCGTAAAATATATGCATTGAATTTTAAAATATGCAGAGGGTTTGTTACTGGCGAAACATTTCTGCTCAGTAAGAAACCCACTGCATATTTTAAAATTCAATGCATATATTTTTCACTTAACAAATGTGTTTTATCGATTCAATGGTAGTTTTAACACCCATAGTTCATACCAAATATCATAAGATTACTGTTGTCAACATTATATTTCATTTTTTATTTATTTTGATGTATAGGTTTTTAGAGGTAAATTCATCGATAGGTATGTCAGTCAGTTTGGGTATATTTTGGCCAAACAAATGCAGAACTAAATTATTTATATATACCAAACTTACTCCCATTCTAGTAAGATTATTTCTATTGTCAGTCTTCTTCTATTGGTCTATTATCAGTCATTGTGAGGACAGCTCCTAAATTATCTTCCGTTCCTTGTTTCAATCTCTCCCATATAAGTTCTGCTATAGCTTTTTGTGTTCTTCTTTCAAGTTTTTCAAGTTTCTTAGCAACATCCCTTTTGAGATCCCAATCTGGTTTCCTGGGTGCTAAACTTGATATATCCAAGTCTTGTAAAACTACCTGGAAATAACAAACTCTGTAATAACTATTACTAAGACATTAATAGAATTCAGTTATTTTCAGTGTTATTGTAACATCTAATATAAATAGTTACGTATATTTTTAATATTATTAATTTAGAATTATGTACTTTAGCTCTACTCCAAATAATTTAATAGTTTTATTAGACTTTAATATTTGTATTCTTTACTGTAATGCAAATTCTTCCATGCATATTGAACTCAGTTCTCTCTGCAAAAAATAATCAGTACTCTTTTATATTAATGAAGAAAGCAGTTAACAGTGACTTAATTAAACTGTACTCAGCATACAATTTTAAATATCAAAAAATCGATATTAAAAAATTAGCATAAATTGAAAGATATTTAATTCATGGTAATTTCACATATGTCAGTACATTTAAATCTATATATTCATACTGTTTTGACAGATACATAATAAAAAAAATTATATATTCACCTAAGACCTTTCGGGCTCATGAGCATATCATTTTTTATCGCTATCCCATAAGTTCTGCTAATTACTTCAGTTAAGAAGAACTTTCAAGAAACTCAATTTCAAATATTATAATATATTAAATCTTATGAAGCTTGTTTCAATGAAGGAACATTGCAGGAGTATACATATTTTAATTTCTTACAAAAAACCCTTGTGCTGGGTTTTTTGGCAGGAATAAACAAAAATAATAATGTGACCTTTTTTGTAGGGTTTACAAAAAAGATTACATGCTAAAATTGTGTATGAAATATGTCAAGTACATAAAAGAAATTACAATGTTGTATAATTATAATAGTAGTTTATTCTCTTGCCTTTTCTTTGCCAGCTTCAAGTAAGTCTTTCACTTCATCTTCAACAGCAGTAGGTTCTGCATCTTCAAGTTTAGATTCTTGCAAAGTTTCATCTTGAGGTTTGTAGCTACGGAACTTAGGTCTGCAAAGTAAAATATTTAAAGATTTATTTATTATTTCATATATACATATAATATCAAAAGTAGCAATGGACCATAGCTATTCTTTCATAACAACCTTAGCAAACATAACCGCAGCCAGAGAAGGAAAGTCTATAAGAAAATTATGCACAAATAGCTTAACATAATACTTTTTAAAGCCATGTACATTAGCCATTAGGCTAGCAATGTACAATGTTAACCTGACATCTACACAGTCATATTTAGAAATCATTATGATTAATTTACCACAATGGCCTAACTGGCCTGACTTCAGCCTCACAAGTCCCTATCAGAGGGGGGAAGGGGATTGTTAGTAATGTGGATTGATAACCCCATTGCTAGCAATGTACCATGTTAAGTCGACCTCCACGCGGTTCCCCCTGGAAACCATCGTGATAAATTCCTGGTGAATTTGTCACGATGGGCTAACTGACCTGATCTCATGCTCATCTTATCATCCTCCACTGGTGCCCTGCCAGCGTAAACCGTTAGCGCAGGCGGGTGCACCATTCCATTATCATCCACAAAAAAAAAAAAAGTCCCTATCAGAGGGGGGAAAGGGAATTGTTAGTAATGTGGAATGCTAGCAATATACCATGTCAGGTTGACCTCCACGCGGTTCCCCTGGAAACCATCGTGATAAATTCTTGGCGAATTTGTCACGATGGGCTAACTGACCTGACCTCATGCTCATATTATCATCCTCCACTGGTGCCCCGCCAGCATAAACCGTTAGCGCAGGCGGGTGCAACATACCATTATCACCCATAAAAAAAAAAAAAGTCCCTATCAGACGGGGGAAGGGGATTGTTAGTAATGTGGATAGATAACACCATTGCTAGCAATGTACCATGTTAAGTCGACCTCCACGCGGTTCCCCCTGGAAACCATCGTGTTAAATTCCTGGAGAATTTGTCATGATGGGCTAACTGACCTGAACTCATGCTCATATTATCATCCTCCACTGGTGCCCCGCCAGCATAAACCGTTAGCGCAGGCGGGTGCAACATACCATTATCACCCATAAAAAGGGGATTGTTAGTAATGTGGAAAAAAAAAAAGTCCCTATCAGATGATTAATTCTTGGGGAGATGGGATAACTGGACTTCATGTTAGTGCCCCAATGTGGATTGATTCCATTATCACCATCAGTCTAGCAATGTACCATGTCAGGTTGACCTCCACGCGGTTCCCCCTGGAAACCATAGTGATAAATTCTTAGAGAATTTGTCACGATGGGCTAACTGACCTGAACTCATGCTCATCTTATCATCCTCCACTGGTGCCCCGCCAGCGTAAACCGTTAGCGCAGGTGGGTGCACCATTTCATTATCATAAAAAAAAGTCCCACTCAGTTTCAAACCATAAATGCCACACCATAGAAGGGCACATCATTCCTCATAATTCTTAAATCCCTGCCACAATTTTGTTTTGGATTTGACAGCTTATTGTTAAGTTTACCTACTAATTATATACTTATGACTATTCAAAAGTGCTTCAATGTAAGTTTATTTGAATAAATGATTTCTATTCTATTAGTATCTTCTATACATAAAATAAACTTATTAAATATTGTTTTATAAACTTCTTATACCAAATGTTTGTGCAGTGGTGTTACTGGAATTGTAGCCCATCTACATTTTTACATTTTTAACAAAATTATATGTTTGGCTCTGAAGGACTATCAATAATCCACATTTTTTCATAGGAATTTAGTCACCCTCTATATTTCGTATGTTTCTAAGTACAAGCTTAACATAATAAACAACATGGTGTTCAGTTTATTTATTTATTCAGTTCAGTATACATAAATAAATATAACATTAAAAACAAACCTAGAGGTTAAATCTTTCAAATTTCTTGTAAACTTACTTTGGAAGAGGTATCGCTACTTCATTCGAAGTGTTTATATCATTTGTAGCGCTATTATCTCCTGGTAATTTTCTCTTGAGATTTTTTAACCTTTCTTTCCTTTTTAATGCCTGTTCTTCTAGATTACCAATGCCATCCATACTGTCCGTAATTATCATTTTAAGTTGAACACAAAACCTAAATATCTGCCGAATTATATATATATCGTCTTCTACAGAAACAAATTAAATATAATTTTGGATATTTCTGTCTACGCTAAAATGTAAATATTTTATTAGAACTGACTTATCAAAATATAAAGTTTTAATTAAAAAATTAAGATTTTTTCTTAAACGACACTGACACTGAGCACAGAACACCAATATCCGCTTGACACTGAGACAGAGAGACTGACATAAGGATGAATGTGAATGATGATGTTAATAGGGGTGAGCATCAATAGTTTAGTCGAAAAACAATGAGTAAGTTTTCGATGACAAAAGAACAAGACACACTGAAAACTAGGACGTGAATGATGATTTAAAACAGTTGTAAATCATTCCAAAATGTCGATGTATTCTGACATTGATATTATACCTATGTCTGATTCATGCCATTCTGCGTTTCGTGTCGACTGTCGATGTTATCGGTGACTTACAGAGACGCGACGCGACGCGACGCCGCGACGTTTTGATATTATCGTGAAGCTGTTAAGATTACACTGCTCAAAGGATGGTAGTAATAAATCACTGTTAATTGTCAAAGTAATAACTAAAAAAAATTTAATATTAGATCAAAAACTCTAAAACGGATGTCCTTGAAATGCCTGCACAGATCTTAATAAATTGTCCCTAAAATCATCTCGATCAAGTCAGCTTTCAAAGAAAATACTGCATTATAATCAATTCATTAATTTAGAAGGTACTATGGTACAAGCAGTCGCACAGACACAGACGCGTCAAACTTGTAACACCCCTCTTAGGTCGACCTGATTTCTACCTGATAGCAGTGGGGCCATTAGTTCTCCTTGCTAACAACTCACCTGTCACAGAGCTGAAAAATCATTATTTTAAATTTTACGCATATAATCTTACTAAAACAATAAACTTGGAAGATTATGAGTGTGGCTGTTTGGATGGAAGAGGTTACATAGGCATGCAATGGGGCCACGAGTCACATTACTATAAATCCTTTCCCCCACCGTCGTAAGTGAGTAATTAGATAGAGATCGTGGATGTTTAGCAAAGAATTAAGTATACATAGTTTAGTATTTTATAAACCAGAACATATGTTCATGATCAGTACTGATGTGTGTACCAACAGCGCGTCAGCGGCTGAGTAAACAGTTTGAGGTTCCTATGTCTGTACTCGCAGAAGGAGACATTAATGATTTATTTGTTATCTACAAGCTGGATTAGATTTTCAATTCTTAAAAAAATGTTTAAGATCCCAATATTTCTTTGCAAAAAGTAGTAGGTATACGTGGGTGCTTAATGCAGGTAGGCCGTCAGGTTGTTTTCAATTCTAATGTAGATTCATGTCAACATGTCTAAATATTTACATTGGGATCTTGTTAGAAGGAACTTTATAAAATTTAACGTGAAGATAAAATATCTATATTTTTTTATGGATAATGGAATGATACACCCGCCTGCGCTAACGGTTTACGTTGACGGGGCATCATTGTAAGATGATAAAATAAGTCATGCACATCTTACTATCATCCACTGGTGCCCCGACAGCGTAAGGCGTTAGCCCAGGTTAGTTAGCCCATCTTGGCAAATGGCAATTTACTATGATGGTTTCCAAGTGGATCCGCATGGAGGTCAACCTGTCATGGTATATTGCTAGCAATGGGGTTATTACTCCACATCACTAACACTGCATTTAATAATAATAATAATAATTTATTCAGCATCATAGTACAGAGTAAAAATATAGAAAACTACTATTTCGCTATGAGCTGAAAGGGCCTCCACACAGCTGGTGCAGCAGCGTGTCTGTGCTCAGCTAATTTTCAGTGGAGCCACTCGTAAAAAAGAAATAGCATTCTTGATGCCTTTTGAGATATATAAAATGAAGAGTGTGTTAAATGAATTAATTAGAAGTAAGTGTAATCAATGGAAGAAAAATACAACATTGCCTTGCCTTTATCCCATTATTTGGGGTCGGCGCAGTATATCATTCTCTTTCACTGATCTCTATCGGCCGTCATATCTGAGCATGCTCTCCTTTTATTCATATCATCTTTCACACAATCTATCCATCTTTTTTTAGGGCGTTCTCTCACTTTCCATCCATCCACGTTCATATACATATGGAAGAAAAATATATAGGGATAAAATTTCGTAAAAGTGTTGATTGAAAGACTTAATAGTGTAATATAATATAGCTTGAATATAATAAAATTTTATATATATAGTTAAATGTGCAATTAAAATATTTATTCAATATATATGTTTAGCGACTATATTGTTACCGCTATTATTTATGTTTATGTTGTGTTCTTGTAGCAGCAGCGGGAAAGAAGGAGGTGAAATGATGAGTTCAGATTGTTGTTATGTACATATTTATAATTACGAAATATTTACAATGAATATATAGGTATGTACAAGAAAGTGATTCGCTCTCGAATGACAGGCCTGTTATTTTATTGCTCTGTCGTAGCTAGGCAACGGTGTCGCCGCGTTTCGCCACATATGTATATACTAGCTGTACCCGCGACTTCGTCCGCGTAAATAATGAAAAAATATTTAACTCAATTAACACAATATAAGTCAAATAAATAAGTTTCATCGTTTTAGCTTCAAAAATGATAAAAAGTAAAAATAAATATTTAATCAATAGGCTAAAAAATAAATTTCAAGCTTTAAACATGACGATACATCTATATAACCTTCTATATAACCTTATAAAATCTACCCTTTCAATCCTCTTGCAACCCTTTTTCACATTAAAAAGTAACCTATGTCCTTTTTCAGGATCTAGTCTATATGTCTGTTTCAAATTTTAATTTAATTCGGTTCAGTATTTTTGGCGTGTAAGCGAGACAAACAGACAAAGTTACTTTCACATTTATAATATCAGTAAGGTATTTAATAAACTTAAAAAGACAAAGAAAAAAGTTTAATCGTTCTAGCTTCCACAACCACACCAACAGCAAATTTCCACAATAACTTTCATTCTCTATTTTATTTTACTACCCCCCCTCCCCTAAGAGTAAACATTTTACAAACATGGAATATCATATTTATTGATATTTAAACAACAGCCTAAAAATGAATCTCAAACTTCTAGTTTTAAAAATTGACGATTCTTCCATACAGCGTACCATTGCAACCCCCTTACTACTTTTTTCACATTCAAAAGTACCCTATATTCTTTGTCCGGGTGTAAACTAACTGTGTACCAAATTTCATTTAAATTTTTATTTTGTTTTGGAGCGTAAGACTGACAGAAAGACAAACAGAGTTACTTTCACAGTTATAACATTAGTGGGGTATTTAAAAATCTACCCCAAAAGAACCAATGAAAATAGTTTCATCGTTCTAGTTTCAAAAATTACGAATTTACATAATAACTTTCATCCCCTATTTTATTTTACCCCCTTAAGGGTAATTTTTTTACAAACAATGAATGTCATATTTATTTATATTTAATCAACAGCCTCAAAAATAAGTTTCAAGCTTCTAGCTTCAAAAATGACGATTTTACATAAAAACTTGCATCCCCTATTTTATTTTACCCCCTTAAGGGTATTTTTTTTACAAACAATGAATGTCATATGTATTTATATTTAATCAACAGTCTCAACAATAAGATTCAAGCTTCTAGCTTCAAAAATGACGTGTTTACATAAAAACTTGCATCCCCTATTTTATTTTACCCCCTTAAGGGTATTTTTTTTACAAACAATGAATGTCATATTTATTTATATTTAATCAACAGCCTCAAAAATAAGTTTCAAGCTTCTAGCTTCAAAAATGACGATTTTACATAAAAACTTGCATCCCCTATTTTATTTTAAGGGGGTTAAGGGTATTTTTTTTACAAACAATGAATGTCATATGTATTTATATTTAATCAACAGTCTCAACAATAAGATTCAAACTTCTAGCTTCAAAAATGACGTGCTTACATGAAAACTTGTATCCCCTATTTTATTTTACCCCCTTAAGGGTAATTTTTTTACAAACAATGAATGTCATATTTATTTATATTTAATCAACAGTCTCAACAATAAGTTTGACGTTAAAAATGACGATTCTTCCATACAATCTTTCATCCCCCCTTTTAACCCCTTACAACCCTTTTTTCGCATTAAAAAGTAGCCTATGTCCGTTCTCAGGGTCTAGACTATCTGTATACCAAATTTCATTCAAATCGGTTCAGTAGTTTTGGCGTGAAAGCGAGACAGACAGACAGAGTTACTTTCACATTTATAATATTAGTTTTTGTCGCAGCACAAAATATATTTTTATCATTTCCGTACAAATAATAATTTTACAGTATTAATCTACAAACCAACATTTTGTTTCTTACAATCCGCTAAATAATTTAAATAGTTCCATAATATATGGCACAATGAAAAGGTCATTTATTTTATAAAAAAGACAGTTAGTTTTTATTTTAGTGAAAAATAAGAAAATTCTATTTTGATACAACAACCATATATTTATTAATACCTATACTTTATTAATTTTGTGTTAATGCTTTTTAAATAAACACCCACACATTATTTCTGTATAACCTACAAAAATGGGTAAATAATTTAATTTCGGATAGTGCCACACCACAACATTCTTTAAAAAATGTAAATAATAAAATGTGAAGAAATTGTGATTGTTATTAAGTTTTTTTTTAAGTTTGTCAGAACAGGGAAACAACATTTGACATTTATTATTATTTAACATTGGACATTGACTTTAATTTTTGTAATTTATATTGTAAAACTTTAAGTTGGGCTAAACTGGGCTTGTATCCAGAGCCGTAAAACAAATTAATAAAAAAAATCGCCAAATTTGTCTCGCAATCGGCCAATTTCAGGTTTAAAGAAAAAACACATACACCCGATATACGATTTTATCATAAAAAAGTATCAAAAACAATATTTTCACTAAACGTCAACGTCATGTTTACGGCAAGATCTTTTGTTTTACATTATGTTATCTGTGGTTTTGTTCTCTGTGATGGATACCTTATTGGCGCAAACGCACGCGATGTGTTGATTGGTTGTTAGCTAGTGAAATGAAATGATGGCGAATGGCGCAAACGCACGCGATGTGTTGATTGGCTGTTAGCTAGTGAAATGAAAAGATGACGAATAAGGATTCAACCGCATAAAGATAACCTTGTATTTCCATTTTGAACCCCTTACAACCCTTTTTACGCATTAAAAAGTAGCCTATGTCCTTCCTCTGCGTCTAGACTATCTGCGAACTAAATTTCATTTAAATAGGTTAATAAGGTTCAGTAGTTTTGGCGTGAAAGCGAGACAGACAGACAGACAGACAGACAGAGTTACTTTCGCATTTATAATATTAGTAAGGGTTAATAAGGATAAATGCAGTAGTCATATATACATATGACTACTGCATTTATCTGCCACGTTTAAGATTTTTGTACTTGGAGTAAAAATATTTACTCCAATTTACTTAAAATGATGTTTAAAAGACATTCCGACTGAATAGTATTTTGAATCTAGGGTGGTAAATTTTTTCATCATTTCGTGACAGTATATTTAAAACTTCCACGAAATGCTGCAGTTTTATACTGAGGGCAGATCAAGTAAGGATGTGACAATCCACGATTTCGCAATGAAAATAATAGTTTTTCAAATACCTAAATATATTGGTTTTTTATACTTCACCACTTCAAAAAGCAATACTGCAAAATATAGAGATCGTCTATGTTCCATTTTTACCAATTTCTCCTGATGGATTGTATTATGTGGACTATGTCCATCATCGACTTTTTTTTATCTGAAATGAATTCGCTGTCGCAAGAGCTGTTTATGTTAATTAAAAAACTTGCTCTAGTCAGTTAATCAGTTAGTATTTTTCTGTCGACTGTATATAAACATGTGTCTGTCAATTAATTTTTGCAGTAATTTACAGTGAAGTAATATCTAACTACTTGTATTTATAATATCTATATTCCGATTCTTAAGCATGGTGTAAGTCTCTGGTTACGGTTACTGTGTAGGTCATTTTTCAAGTACCTATTTAATTTACGAAGGTTACAGTAACCAAATAATTGTTTGTCTGAAAAATTAAATCTAATAATTGAATAAATGAACCTATATAAAATTAAAAACATAAGAAAAATATGAAATTACTTTTTATTATTTTATATTTAACTCCAGAAACCATACTCAATATAATAAGTTTTTTAATACTTTTACGGTGCAGTAACATTACATTATGTTATATAAAAAAACAATACTGTTAAATGTAATAACTAATAAATGTTAAGGTTTTACGTAACAAAAACACGAAAGAGGGACATCCTTGATATAGGGTCGAGGATGTACCTACTATATATTATAATATGATTAGATCCAAGCATAGAAAATATTGGAAATAATTTTAATTTATTAGACTTGCAATGTTTGTATATTTATTTGGTTCTTAAATATAATATATTACATATACAATAGATTTGATGACAATGTATAGCTCCTTTTTGTTTTTTTTACTAGATATTAATATAGTTTGAATTAAATAATAATATTTTTTTCTCTGTTTTATTATCGAATGAAATAGTAAATACAGGTATAAATAAAAATACTTCTTTAGTTACACATTTAATATATTTACAAACTTACAGTACGTAAGTACATGAAAATATGACTTAATAGTTTAGGACTTTGAAAATTTGTAACCTACTACTTACACTGAATATATAGGTACCTACTATAAAATATTATTAGTTATTTTTTTTATTTTCTAATACATATAATATAAAAGTTACATTTAACACATTTTAAGGTCCTGCTCATATACAAGTGATCAATATGTGTTCGTAAATGTGTATTGAAGTCGCTTGGTGATAACATAATAATTAGTAAATAAAAGAACGGTTACAATCATGAGATACCTCCAATATTACAACCATCGAGTTTTTGTCGTTTAATTTCATCAGTATAGATACTTACCACTACGTATACCCAAATGGTAATAAGTTCATATCTTGCCGCCCCATAATATCTCGGTGAAGGATACACCGATAACTTAGGCGATATTTTCATCATCTTCACAATTGGATTTATATATGTCCAGCGAAATGTGAACATTTGAAATCTTGAGTCCACCATGATGTTGACATCAACAAAGTCAGTCAACAAAGTCGCTAATAATCGTGAAAAGATATTATTATTTCAATACAATTTCCTTTGGTCACATAGTACTAGGTAGTTTCTGGTAACATACAAAAAGTTTCCAGTGGAAGTTACTGTGGTGAAGCAACATTATATTACGTTGATCTATTTCGGTTGAAAAAGTCAATGCAATAATTGACATAAGAGGCACAGTGTGTCCGAAGAGGCGCCTGATGGTAATGATGATTTACGTTCGTGCAGTCATTACGCGTTAGTTGTATCTCTACATCACGAACTGATTGCTGTTCCAACGATTATGAAAATAGAGGTATCAATAGAAGTATCTTACTTTGGAAATATGTAAGTCATTGTTAATATTTTACATAAGTCCTCACTTATTTATAAAGCGATGACAATTTTATTTATTAACATAAAAGTATATTGTCACCAAATACTTTATCTCTAATATGTTGAATTGGACACTGTTGTATGTGTTCTTTAATATTGTAAGCGTAGGTATTTAAAGTCTTCTGTTTTATTCAGAAAATACAATAAATATGAAGTAAATAATATATGTTAGGTACAAAGTTATGCGCCTAAGCGTGATTTACTCTTGATTTTTATCTAAGAACTAATTTCGCATTCCTATTTATTACATTTATAGCACACAGTTATATAAAACAAAACTATGAATAAGTACATACAACCCAAGAAATAAATTAATACAATAATTTTATAGATCCTTGTCATATGGGAATTTCACTAATTTTCACATATTTTTAGGTAGTTTTTCATGACATCTAATACAACCTTTAAGATAATATACATACATATGTAGACAAACTACGAACTATGTAAGCTATCCATTGACGACACTACACTCAAATTTAGTTACTAAATTTATCTTTAAAATGAATTAAAGATGGCTTCAGAAAATGTGTCTGTGTTGCTCGTGTATTAAATGTTACATATGTAATATGTATGTAATGTTAAATGTAATATTGAGACGCAAACATTTTATTAACGACCTTAAAATGTTGTCTATGCACAAGCTACAAGCATACTTAACGATGAAGGACTTGCAATCATTGATCTACAGGGACCTTAAAAATGTTGGGCTTCCTAAAATTTATTACTTATGGCAGTTCACAATCATTATAATTAAAATAAATAATTATTTATGTCTAACACAAGTTAAAGAAATATTAAGACGTTAGATACTCGTAGTTGATATACAGGGTGACACGACGTTACCACACTTCTTTGGTTATTTACACATCTATTTTTATTGACTTTGAGTATTGGATGATACGCAGGAGACCAATATCAATGCAAATTCTTTATGAATCATCTTGTATTGTAACTGATACAAATATCAGGTTATAATTTATTACAAAAAATAAGGAAACACACAATGGTTGCTTACTCACACTCCCTTTTTAATAAGTTATAGTGCTCTTTTTACTATAGGTATAAAAGAAATGCTATATGTATTGACTTTTTATTCCTGTACTTAACGGATGACGCGATCGTAACTTTTTATTATAGATATATTTCAATATCGAAGTATAAATGTATGGTAGATGCAAATATTTTATAAATTGTTTACCGTTATTTTATTTTATTCATTTATATTCTTTTGACTTGGAGTGAGATATAGCGCCAAAATAAGACTTAATTATATTCTTTGTCGTCAGATTGACATGGCTACACATTCACATGGGCTCTTAGTTGTCTTATTATGGTAATAGAGGTGTAATTTCTGGTCATTCCTAATAACGTATCTGTCATCAGTCATTTAGCACTAGTATTATAATTTCAAAATATGCAAACAAGGTTTCAACAATATATGAACAAAAACGTCTGTCTCTCTAAAAAGATGACTGACAGTCTATTGTAAACATATTTCGGGTATAGAAACAACTAATTAGTTATAATTGATTACCTGTCAGTTTCCAGATAATATGTAACGGTCCTAATATTTCTTTATACTTGTGTTCTTATATGTCGTCTACTATCGAAGGGCAGTCTATTGGAAATGTTATTAAATATTGGTACACCATGATTTAAAGATAACACTTTCGATACTATATTTAAGTCCTCGTGACTTCGCGAGTTTAACCCACTTTGCGCTAATAATTGATTTAATTCTGCATCAGGATTAAATTGATTAGGCCTATTGAAGAAACGATTTGAGTGTATCGGGTTAAATGTGTTAAATCTGTTATAGTTTTGGTTATTATTTATTCCTAAGTTACTAACACCGCTTTCTTGACGAAATACACGAGTATTTTGTTTTGGTTGGCTAAGTTGTTCTATGCCTCGTAACTGATTAAAATTAAGTCCTTGGTGAAAATTTGCTGAGTTTGGTTGTAAAAAATTACTTATACCTTGTGGTAGATGATTTTCCTGTAATGGAAACTGTTCGGGTTGTTGATTGCGCAAGTGCAGTAAAAAGTCAACAGCTTCGCGATTAGGTAACTGTTGTTGATTGCCGGCAATATTATGATGTTCAATGGGTACGCTGGGTTGAATAGACACTTGTGCGGTTTGTGATGAACGTATTGGATTGTTTTGATTTATAAACGAACTTTGTTGAACTGGTTTTGGTAATCCTTGTAAATGTATACTACTCAGACTTGGTATAACTTGGACTTTTTGTTGATCGGAATGAAATTGCTGTTTTTTTAGCTGTTCTTGTTCAAATAATATTTGTTGTTGCCGTTGAGCATCTTTCTGTTGCAAAAGAAGCTGTTGTTTTCTTAATAGTTCCTCTTGTTGTCTTTGTTGAACCAGCAATAACCGTAGTTGTTCCTCTAAAATCCTTTGTTTTTCTTCTAACTGCTTTTGAAGTGCTAGTTGTTGGTTCACGAAATCGGTTTGTGGAATTTGGTTCACATGAACATTAGGCAAAGCTAAATTATTTCGCGGTGGTAATACTCCAGTTGGTACATTTGTAGCAGGTTGTGGTTTCAATGGTTCTTGTATGTTCGATTGCTGATAAATAGGAATAACTTTTTTCGGCAGTCCATGTGCATCTTGATGAACTGTGAAAGCTGCTACCAAAGGAGCTTGAAATACTTGAACATCGCGTTTATCAACTTCTTCTATATTTTCTCCGTCATCATTGTGAGTTGGTTTTGGAGTTGTAGTAGTCGTAGTAGTGGTCGTAGTTGTTGTTGTAGTAGTAGTTGTAGGTTTGTAAGTAGTTTCCTTGATTATATTATTTTTAGCAGTCGGCTGCGATATGCTTTGAACACTTCTGACTTGTTGAAGGTTTATACCGGATTCTCTCGTTTGAAATATTTCATTAAAAGGTGTTTGAGTAGGAAGCGTAGCCGTTACGTAATTTTCTACATTTCCGGAAGTAGTACTCAAAATTGATATTTTGTTATCGATAATTTTTGGTGAAGGATTAATTTTACCCGCAAAAGCTTCTTGTCCATCAACTAAGAAAGAATGTATTTTAATTTCCTCATTAATTAATGGTGGTTGTAAAGTTTGCGAAGGTTCTTCTCCGCTCTTTAAGATTTCTGTAGTAGAAGGGTCATCGGTAACATCATCATCTGTAGTCGTATTGTCGCTATTATCTTCAAGATCACTTAGTGCTTTGAGTAAAGCTTTTCGAATATAAGGATCTAATCGCACAGAAGGTTTCGTATCTATAGCATTAAGTTTATCGTTGAAAGCATCGGTCGTGGTGTCCTGCGCCGTTCCGATTCCAAGAAGAGCGACGAAAATTAGCACCGGCACCTGGAAAAATAGAAATAGTATATTAAATATTGTATGAAACTATTATTTATATACCTGACATAGTTAACAAGATAGTCATCACAGATTCAACTATCTGTGATGACATTACATATATCAAGAGCATCATAAACACCACATAATGCACTGTGCAACATTCGTGCAATATTTCGAAGGAGTAAGATATCATACCTAATATCACTACAATACTATGAATTCCTTGACAAATATCTAGTAAACTTACAATTTACCCCTTAAAACTAAAATACACAGCTTGGAAATAAAGTATAGTATGTAATTATACTTAATAACATACAAAAACTCAGTAATGTTCTAAAATATAACTTATTGTTAATATCGATATTAATGTATTTCTTCGATACGAAGTAATTAGGCGAGTAGGCTAAGTTCGGTTCATCAGTAGTGAGCGGCAGTTCGTGATTATAATAGTGGCACTTACTTCCATGTTTCCACGATCCTGTTTTTAGGTGTCTACCATTACATTGTTCGTGCAATGTAGAACAATGAATGTTTTCCTATGCCTTCGATTACACAACTCTACACCGCTATCGTTTACCATCGTATGGCATGTGAATGTACAGGCAATATAAATTATGCATATATAGATATTTATTATTTCCAATAATTTATTACCAAAACCGGACAGATTAAAGTTAATCTGGAATTCTATTGTAATCAGTGTATTTTGAGCCACAAAACATAGCTAATTTTAACTGTTTACATTCATAATTATTGTTTTTATTGTATTGCAATAATTATCACTTATATACTACTAGCTATTATCTATGAGTGAAAGTATTTAAAAAGTGGTCAAATAATTTTTGATTTTGTCCAGTACAAGCAAACATGCGTAATAAACAAACAACAAGTCTAATCTTTTCTCTTCATAATATTAGTATAGTCACCATAGTAGGCATTACCAATAAGGACTCGGGTTTGGCCTAAACTGCAAGAGAAACAAAATTCAGGTTTGGTTGTAAAATCTAGTTTATATCCATAAATCGAAACTACAAGCAATGTTTCAGCTCTCGCAACTCGATCTTTTTCATACGTGATTTTTCCTCGTGATTGCGATCAATAAATCTGCAGAAATCGAGCAGTATATATGTCAATAAAATTATGTCATAATACATTATTTCAACATCTACGGTTACCAACTGTCTTCATTTCAATTAAAAATATTCCACTCATTGAATTACAAACGCTACGATTGTTTACCGGTTCTTATTTATGACGATAATATTCAACGCGTGCCTAGTGCTCCCGTAGCTGTCGAAATCAGCTATTCCACACGCTATACGTCAATACAACCTTAGATAATTAATCAGTTGTTTAGTAACTTATGTCTGTTTGTGCGTGTAGACGGGACCTACTTTTATAATCGTTCAACGTGTGTTGTCATATCACGTTTCTTTATTTGAATTTTTAATACGTCTATCAATTACATTTGTTTATGGTTCCATTCTTTAAGACACAGTGACATTTTGTTCTCTCGCACGTGTATGTCTAGAGAAAACAGCTAATTACTGAATCTATAGTCCAGATATGTTGCAAAGTAAGTTAGTTCTTTTGTGCGAGACTTGCCAATAATAACCTATATATGACGCGTTATAAGATTCATAATGTAAGAATGTAAGCTTTTTCGTATAATTCTGAGTCAACTGAATTTATTGACTTCTTAGAACGGTATTGATCTGTACAGTGGAAGAATAAAATATTTAAAGGTTTTCTAACTTTACTTAACAGAAAAATATCGCACCATAAATACAAAACTAGAAAATGTATACTAGAAACTAATTGTTTGCTCGTCTACATTCGTGTTACACTCAATTTAATTTAATGGTTCTTTAGAACTATTAGTTGTAGCACTATTATTATGGTAAATCTCTTTCAAAGGTTTCCGTAGAATAGCCTCAAATGATAAAATAACAATGTGGCCGGCACCAGACACCAGTCACAGCAGTTCCGGCTATTTGTTATTTATGTAACCGACACTATATTTTCGCATAATCGCACGTTTTTATTAGTACACAGCAAGCTGGTGAAAAACAGTTTAGAATAAATATCTTCCTGCAATCCTATGAAGTGAGAGCCTAGACCATATTACTAACCGATACTGATAACTGATCATAATATAGTATATAACTTTACGAGTACGTACTCACTATAGGACCATAAAAAATTCGTGTGTAAATTATGTAAGTAAGGACATGCAAAACGAAATCAAATATACCTATTTGCGAATTTATCTTTTTTTTAGATAGAAGATAGCTTAGCATATGTTTTTTATATATTCTATATATATTCTCATAATGTAATCTATTTACTTCAATTTCATTAAGATTGCTTTAGGATATCGCGTGATGATAATATATATGCAATACTAGCTGTCACCCGGGATTTCAGCTGCATTTTTTAGAAAGACCAGCAGTTTCGTCGTATCATCAAATTTGATTCAGAGCCATTCAGATGTTTAGTCTTGAAAGTTAAACCGACAAACACACATTCACATTTATAATATTATGGATATAACATTCCTTTTAAAAAACTGTTTCGAACTATATGATGTGTAAATATTTTTTTAGTACTGACGAAAGGATTCTTTTTACCAACGGTTTAAATGTTAGTAGCATATTTGCTTACTACGGAACCATAATAATATTTGTTCGACTCTCGACCGGTTTTATCAGGTAATCATCGTGAGTCTAAATATAGATGAGCTTGTATAAAATTGTAAACTTACGCAATAACGAATGTAACTTTATTACAATATTATTATTTATTAATATGTTGTAAATCAATTGTCCAGATAGTTAAATAAACCTATTGAAAATAATGGTAAATAAGCGAACATGACAGTCAGGTCAGGTAATAGTAGTGTGCAAGTCATTTCAAATAAGTGTCAGTAGTTATTAATTATACTGCACGTTGAAAAGTTTTACGAGCTCGATGACCCTTTTGTAATTATTTATTATCTGAAATTCGCATCATACAAATTATGCATGTAATAATTATTAAAAAAATACTGCCAGGGAGCCAGTGGGCAGTTATTGCAAAACTGCATAACGTGCGTTATTATATGGCGCTTTCACCGGTCATAAGTCACAGAGAAGCGTCCGTGTAATGTCATAGTTAGGGTTGTCAACCGTACGAGAAACAAGAATCCTCATATAAGATTTTTGTGTCTTGGTATGAGGTACGAAGATATAATACTATTATTTTATAAGAGATCATCCTACATAAATTATTAAGTAAACTAGGTCAACTCGAAATTTATTACCGGTGTTATTAGCTTACCACAAAATATTAGTAAAACCACAATCAAAGACAACGTTGAAAAATATATGATACGATATACCTACATATAATAAAAATATAACTGCATTTTTATTATAAGTACAAATTTTTCACTAAAACCACAAGTCTGTAGGTCGAAGACCAGTATTTAGGTAAGTAATTATGTGAAAAGTATTTGGTTACTTTATTATAAACAAATAATATATTATACCTACACAAATTTTTGTTTATATTTAACAGGTTTTAAGTTTTAAATGCCTCTTTTACTTTTAAAATTAAAGTTGACAACCCTGGTCTTGGTACCTAAGTATTGATAGTGGAATGCGCGCCGGTGCCACCATGGGTGCTGTAAGCTTTTGCTGGCAGCATCCGCCACACCCACGTGCCACATGACATAATCCTGTGACCTACCGACTTTAATAAGTACTTTACGAAATACACGTAGAAGTACTTTACGTTTGTCAAATTAACGACAAAAATTGTTGCGCGAGCGCGTTACCTATATTTGTTTATGAGATGTTTATGAAATTTATTTTCTACTAAATTGAAGATTTATCATATTACGTGATTGTAATAATCTAATGACTAGGCTAGATCACTTAGCTATATAAAAAATGAACAAAAATATCGTTACTATTGTTACCCCCGATGAGATAGTCAGAGGCATTGCCAAATATAGACGACATAGTGAATTATATATAATATAATACAATACAATATAATAATTCACACAGCTCTATCTAGTCTCAACCTAAGCAGAGCTTGTGTTATGGGTACTAACAACGCCAAAAATAAACTATAGATACATATTATACGTAGAAAACACCCAGAGCCATACAATCATACACACATCATAATACAAATGTTTGCACCGTGTGAGTAATCGAATCCGTGACCATCGGAAGTAAGGCGGTGTATTAAATCGATTAACCACCGAGGCCATACCGGTCTCTGTGGTCTGTCGATCTGTATATATCACATATACTTACTTAACATATTTTCATAATAACGAAAGCGATCGTTTGGTAAAAACTAAGCAGGTCAATATTATGATGACAGACCCTGCAGTGGAATTTAGAAGACAAAGTAAACAAGAAATTATTTTTAAATAGGTATATTAAATTATCTATTAGGCAATTTGTCCACATGCTGTAATGCTTGCACATATTGCATTTTTTTAAGTGAAAAACACAATTTTATCTTTTATGGAACAAATCTAATTCCGTGTCTATCACCAATCTTTACATAGTATAATACATCGCACAGTCTGTGTGTTTAGATATTTAAAACTGCGCAACCAATTATTTAGTTTTCAGCAATGGCAATAGTAATGATAGAGTGACTCAATAGGAAGGTTATTTGTAAATAGTTCTACACCAGTGAAGAGCCGGTGTGAGCAGCTAGTATGAATATAAATATTAATAATAAGGTACATAATAATAATTATCAATATAGTAATAATAATAATAAACTCAGCACAATTCACACAGCGCCATCTAGACCCAAGTTAAGCTAGTTAAATCTTGTATTATGGGTACTAAATAACTGATACAAATACATAAATATATTTTTTTTCGTAAATACATACATATTGGATATAGAAAACACCCAGACCAATACAAATAATTATACTTCATGAATATAGATGACGAATATTTCCGTGAAATCGAATCCGCGACCATCGG